AGATCGTGCGCTGGCTCACAGGACAACAGAACCCCTATGGAGGCTTCCAGTCCACTCAGGTACTACTACTACTACTACTACTACTACTACTGCTACTGCTACTGCTACTGCTACTGCTACTGCTACTACTACTACTACTACTACTACTACTACTACTACTGCTACTGCTACTACTACTACTACTACTACTACTACTACTACTACTACTACTACTACTACTACTACTACTACTACTACTACTACTACTACTACTGCTACTGCTACTACTACTACAGAACCCCTATGGAGGCTTCCAGTCCACTCACGTACTACTACTACTACTACTACTACTACTACTACTACTACTACTACTGCTACTGCTACTACTACTACAGAACCACTATAGAGGCTTCCAGTCCACTCAGGTACTACTACTACTACTACTACTCCAAGTACTTGTAGTAAACTGTTTGTACTGTGTAAGTACTGCAGTGGTGTGATTCAGGTGTAATTCCTCTTTAGGACACAGTGGTGGCGCTGCAGGCTCTGTCCCTGTACTCTGCTGTGGTCTACAGTCCGGACGGGTCCAGCACGGTCCTGGTCCGGGATCTGAACCGGCCCACAGAGGGGTCTTTGTCCTTCACCGTGGAGCCGAGCAACAAGCTGCTGTACCAGGAGCGCCCTCTGGGGGGCGCCGCGGGGCAGTACAGTGTGGAGGTGACAGGGAGCGCCTGCACCTCCATACAGGTCAGTCTGAGCGACAGGGGCACTGACTAGTCCTGGTTTAGTCCTGGTTTAGTCCTGGGTTAGTCCTGGTCCAGTCCTGGTTTAGTCCCGGTTCAGTCCCGGTTCAGTCCTGGTTCAGTCCTAGTCCAGTCCTGGTCCAGTCTCGGTTCAGTCCTGGTTCAGTCCCAGGTTCAGTCCTGGTCCAGTCCTGGTCCAGTCCTGGTTCAGTTCTTTGTTTCAGGTCTCTCTGTTCTATAACGTCCCGGTTCCGTCTGAGGTCCGGACTCTGGGGGTGAAGGTCGAGACTCAGATGGAGTGCGGCGGCTCGGTGCTCCAGCTCCTCCTACAGGCCGAGTGAGTACATGACGCCCTCTGCGCCCGCTCCTGTCAGCAGACTCAGGCAGGTGCGGCAGGTGCGGCAGGCGTGACTGTGACCTGTCGGTTGTTGTGCAGATACGGTGGAGAGCAGAACAGCACAAACATGGTGATCCTGGACGTGAAGATGCTCTCAGGGTTTGTGCCTCATGAAGCGTCTCTGAAGAACGTGAGTCACTCTGACAAACACGTCACACCTCAACGTGTTTTTATTTTTATTTTTCTAGAAGCTGATCCAGCCAAAAAGTACATGTACAAACATGTACAACGTGTGTGTCACATACATGTACATGTGTGTAAGGGCAGTGTGGCCCTACACACACAAGCCACTAGGATGTAAATTTTAAAGACATTCCTGACACGTGTTTCCATATAAATGAGACAAAACTCCAGTAAAAGCTCAAATATTCCTTTATTTCATCATGAGCCATGAACACGGACAAAACACTGTTCTTCATCAGTTTGTAACACCTGTATAACCTAATTAATGGACTTAAATAAACAACAACCCACAGAAAACAAAGACACAGCGCCACACGGACCATTTTGGCCACTACAATGTGTGTGTTTTTTTTCAGCTGGAGTTTGAGTCTGGAGTCGACCGAGTGGAGCGGAACGAAGATCACATCCTCCTCTACATCAAAGAGGTCACTTTAAAAACACTTATCTACTCTAGTCCTGGTCTAGTCCTGGTCTAGTCCTGGTCCAGTCCTGGTCCAGTCCTGGTCCAGTCCTGGTCCAGTCCTGGTCTAGTCCTGGTCTAGTCCTGGTCTAGTCCTGGTCTAGTCCTGTCTAGTCCTGTCTAGTCCTGTCTAGTCCTGGTCTAGTCCTGGTCCAGTCCTGGTCTAGTCCTGGTCTAGTCCTGGTCTAGTCCTGGTCTAGTCCTGGTCTAGTCCTGGTCTAGTCCTGGTCTAGTCCTGGTCTAGTCTGGTAGTCCTGGTCTAGTCCTGGTCTAGTGCTGGTCTAGTCCTGGTCTAGTCCTGGTCTAGTCCTGGTCTAGTTCTGGTCTAGTCCTGGTCTAGTCTGGTCTAGTCCTGGTCCAGTCCTGGTCTAGTCTGGTCCAGTCCTGGTCTAGTTCCTGGTCTAGTCCTGGTCTAGTCCTGGTCTAGTCCTGGTCTAGTCCTGGTCTAGTCCTGGTCTAGTCTGGTCTAGTGCTGGTCTAGTCCTGGTCCAGTCCTGGTCTAGTTCTGGTCTAGTCCTGGTCTAGTCCTGGTCTAGTCCTGGTCTTTGTCTTACAGTTGTCTAAAGATGTGCCCGTGTCCTTCCGTCTGCGTCTGGTTGAGGAAATTCAGGTCCAGAATCTCAAACCTGCTGTGGTCAGAATCTACGACTACTACCAACCAAGTACTACAATACTACACTACTGCAATACTCTGAATACTGTGTACTTTTCATGGAGTAGAAGTACTAATGTGTGTATTTTTGTTGTGTTCAGGTGACGAGGCAGAGACAGAGTACACGTCCCCGTGTGCTGCTCCAAACAAACACTGAACATTTTATAAACAGTAAATTACAAATAAACAAACAACAAATGAATCATGTTTGTCTGAATGTTTTTATAATCTGGTTTAGACCTGGTTTAGACCTGGTTTAGTCCTGGTTCAGTAAAGTATAAAGGCTCATGAGAATAGAAAAGAAAACACTTAGATTTAAAGTTGAAAATCACATTATATTGTCTGAATAAAGAGATTTTAAAAAATGTATTCTCGAATCTGTTCCTTTGTACTGAAATTAAGTTTGAAATTTTAGTGTGGTTATAAAACTATCGTGTGAAAAGTGAATTACAAATGAATAAATTTAAATAATTGGTTTGCAGCAGATAAAGTAAATAAAATCAGTCTCTGTCCATCACAGTTACATCAAGTTTTATTTAATTTAACATAAACATATAAACACAGAATAAGACTTTTGTACAATCGTCACATTTAAAGCCACAATCTGTAACTTTTATCTGAGTTTAGACGTTGGTGACTGAGTTTAATCACAAACAGAAGCTTCAGACTCGTCAGACTCACGACTTCTTCAGATACTGAAAAAAACAACAACAAAAAAGAATCAGTAAAAGTGAATGAATCATTGTATTTATAAATCGCCTTTCAAGATCCTCAAAGACGTTTTACAGATCATTTTTCATTCACTCCACACTCTGTGATGTAACATACTACTGCAGCCACAGCTGCCCTGGGGCAGACTGACGGAAGTGATGCTGCCAATCTGCACCATCAGCCCCAACGACCACCAACATCACACACACACACACACACACACACACACACACACACACACACACACACACACACACAGATACACACACACACACACACACAGATACACACACACACACACACACACACAGATACACAACACACACACACACACAGATACACACACACACACACACACACACACACACACACACACACACACACACAGATACACACACACACACACACACACACAGATACACACACACACACACACACACACACAGATACACACACACACACACACACACAGATACACAAACACACACACACACACACACACATACACACACACACACACACACACACACACACACACACACACACACACACACACACAGATCACACACACACACACACACACACACAGATACACACACACACACACACACACACACAGATACACACACACACACACACACACACACACAGATCACACACACACACACACACACACACACAGATACACACACACACACACACACACACACACACACACACAGATACACACACACACACACACACACACACACACACACACACACAGATACACACACACACACACACACACACACACACACACACAGATACACAACACACACACACACACAGATACACACACACACACACACACACACACACACAGATACACACACACACACACACACAGATACACACACACACACACACAGATACACACAACACACACAACACACACACACACACACACACACACACACACACACACAGATACACACAACACACACACACACACACACAGATACACACACACACACACAGATACACACACACACACACACACACACACACACACAGATACACACAACACACACACACACACACACAGATACACAAACAGATACACAACACAAACACACACACACACAAACAGATACACACACACACACACACACACACACTCCACTTTCATACTAGACAATGTGAGTGAAGTGTCTTGCCTAATGACACAATCCTGATTTTCCCAGCAGTCTCCCGTCCAACAGTCAGTTCATGAAAATCATGCACTTCTGGAAAAGATTTTGACTTTTGACATGGTGTTAGGTTTGGGCCTAAGATTTTTAAAAATCCATGGAGACAAGTTGGTGACGCCCTCTAGTGGCCGATGAGCATAAAATCCAAAAACAAGAAACAAGAAAAGGTTTTATCTCCACTTCCTTTAGTCTTAAATTGTTGTATAATGTTTTTTTTTTAAACTTTGTTTGATACAAGGAATTCAATTCTGATTTATTCTTCTTGTTTTTAGTCCATTTTTGTTAAATCAATTATCATAATCATATTTAACTACAATAAACTGTCAATATCTGCGAAAAAGTCACATTTAACTATTACTTAGGCCATGGGTGGGCAAACTTTTTGGCTCGTGAGCCACATAGGGTCCTAAAATTTGACTCAAGGGCCGGACAGAACACAGGACATGACGTGTCAAGAGCTCAGCTGCATTATATTTGTATTTACGCTTATGTAGGAAGTGCACTTCACGCTACAACATTGCTGCAAAATATTGAGAACACACAAGAAGTTAATAGATCTGCTCCACTGCACACAACAGGCGAAAATGAATTGTGAATGATCAGGTTTTACTGAGAAACACAGTTCACACTATAACAGGGGTGGGCAAACTTTTTGGCTCGCGGGCCACATAGGGTCCTAAAGTTTGGCTGAAGGGCCGGACAGAAGACAAGATATAACGTGTTAAGTGTTAAGAGCTCGGCTTCATTACATCATATTCACGTTTATGTAGAACTTCAGACGCTTCAACATTTCTGTGAACAATTCAGACACATAAAAGTGTATAAATCTGTTCCACTGCACACGACAGGTAAATAAATATCATGAACTCACCGTTTTCAAATTTGACTAAATTAACTCAATAACAAAGCCAATGCCAAACAAACACACACATACACATGTAAGTGAAATAAAACTGGACACTATGAAGTTGCATATATTGACATCTACAACTCAAGAGTCTTTAAGTTTTCTATGTTTTATTATAACCAACTTCAAATGGAAGCAGTGCAGCCTTATATCTTGAACACCAACTACTTCACTCATGGTCTGAATAACTCCTGTAAGAACACTTTCCCATGAAGCATTGCGGCCAATATAATACGCCGCACCTCAATGTATATGTAGTGCGACATCTACTGGGAAACGCTGGAAATGCATGACAAATAAAACATCAACAAGGTTTATTATTGTAATTTCTTCCAGTTCGGCGGGCCGGATTAAAAGGTTTAAAGGGCCGTAGTTTGCCCACCCGACTTAGGCTCTAGACCAGGAGTGCTCAATACGTCGATCGCCAAGGTCGTGTGGGTAGGTTGTAGCGGAGTGCAGGAGCGTGTGGGGCGTCTCAGTGCAGCCTGTGCGCTCATTTGAAACCCGCGGAGACTCTACGGCGCATCACAAACACACACGCTCCCTATGCACGGCTCGTCTGCGACAGCGTGTGCCCTCGTGTACCAGCGTGCATCACAGGGCAGGTTCAACTTCCTAAACATCCTACCTGTCCACCTGCCTCACGTCAGCACGCCGCCCCTCGCCTTTTCACGCTCTCGCTCCTTCCTGCGTACAGCCAACACAAGCCCCTCCCACAGTGCGGCTGATTAGAAGAGCAAGACCAAACGTGAAGCAAAAACCAGTCTAAATTTGTGTTCCAGTGTTGGCACAAAGCAGGTCTACAGCATAGAGCGGATCTACAGAACAGACCTACTGCCACATTTGGCTGAAGTTTGTCTAACAAAAGTGACAAATGCATCTGTGTTTGTCACGATGTGTGTTTGGTTTGGTAAACGTGCAGAGGCTGGTAAATATCACTGCAAAACCAGAAAAGAATGTAACTCCAGTTTGGAACTTTAAAAAACAGGTTTAAAAATCTTCCTTCACTTTTTTCACAGTTTTGTTAAAGTGCCAGAGGAAGTTCTCTTAAAGAAGAGGTTCTCAAACTGTGGGGGAGGGTCCAAAAAAGAGGCACAGAGTGTTTCAGTGCAGTTTGCTTGGCTTTGTCCTGGTAGATCTTTATGACTTGGTCATTGTGTAAGTAGCTCACATGATGAAAAAGTGTGAACACCCCTGATCTAGACCCATAGTTTTAACTCCTGTGTTTGTTTTTCTTTGATTGGACGGGTCTATGTGAGCGTGCTGGAGCAGTGGAGCATCAGTCCCTCTGCTGCTGTGAGTCCAATTCACTTTAATAAAAACACAAAATTCCTGTGTTTAACTTGTAACTACAGTGACATGTGGTGACCAAAAGGACATTTGTTCTGATCCATGGGGCCAGAGCAGCAGGGAGGCTCCAGGGGCCACTCCTGGTGCAAGACCCAGAGACAGGGAGCCTCCCTGGGTCACATTAGTCAGGCTGGGTTCCTGGAACATCTCATCGAACCATGAGACAATTGTCAATGTTATTTCATTTCACAGACAGGGACAGTTTTTCAGGCAAAAAGTGATAATGACAATAAATTTGGCATGATGATCTTAAAATAGGAAGATAATGTTAAAATCACATTCCTTTAATCAAGTCAAGTAAAAAAAGTGTCATTATACAACAATTTTAGACAAAAGGAAGGTGGGATAAAACCTTTTCTCTTTTCAGCGGGGGCCATTTTGGATTTTATGTACACCGGCCACTAGGGGGCGCCCAAACTTGTATCCATGGATTTTTAATAAATGTGTGCCCAAACCAAACACCCTGCCAAAAATCTAAAACGTTTCTAGAGGTGCACAATCCTCATGATATTCCACAAATTCCCTCCGAGCTACAAGTCCAGACCAGGCCTGGCCTTGGACTGAACCAGGACTGAACCAGGACTAAACCAGGACTAAACCAGGACTAAACCAGGACTAAACCAGGACTAAACCAGGACTAATAAAGTGGATAAATCCCAGTGGGTGCAGTGGGTCTGGACCTTGTGGAGGACCCAGTCTGCGTCGGCGATGGCTCTGTGGATGATCATCTGGATTCTCTCAGGGTCGTCCTCGTCCGTGTGACTGTTATAGCCCTGAAACACAAAGGTCAAAGGTCAAACGCGTCCTCTGCATTTGACCCGTCCTTCTGCATCACTAAGTTAAACCTGCATTTGACCCATCCTTCACTGCCTCTGGACTAAACCTGCATTTGACCCGTCCTTCGGCGTCTCTAAACTAAACCTGCATTTGACCCGTCCTTTAGCGTCTCTGGACTAAACCTGCATTTGACCCGTCCTTCAGCGTCTCTGGACTAAACCTGCATTTGACCCATCCTTCAGCATCACTAAATTAAACCTGCATTTGACCCGTCCTTCAGCGTCTCTGGGTTAAACCTGCATTTGACCCATTCTTCAGCGTCTCTGGGTTAAACCTGCATTTGCCCCGTCCTTCACTGCCTCTGGACTAAACCTGCATTTGACCCATTCTTCAGCGTCTCTGGACTAAACCTGCATTTGACCCGTCAGACATAAAAATATTCTCTACAGATGAATAACAAGATCTAATTGGAATAATATTGCCGTCCTCTAGCTGCTGGCTCTGCTCCCGTCTTGTGTCACCCATCGGCTGGTGCGTGCCACCTGTCGGCAGGCGTCTCACCTGTCGGATGGCGTGTCTGTAGTGCTGCTGCATGGCGCTGGAGGGCAGGAGTCTGGTGCAGCGGAGCAGGTATCTGTAGAGCTGAACCGGAGTCTGGATCAACTCTGCTCCGGCCAAAGGCATCTCTTCTGTCAGGTGCTGCTCCCGTCAGCTCCTGTCAACTCCTGTAAGCTCCTGTCAACCCACACATTAAACCAGAGATGAGTTTGCTGCGAATTTTTCAGAACATCTTCAATAACGATCACTACATCTTTACCATTTTCATCTTGTACATGAGTTCTGACAGAAGCTGAAACGTGGCTGAGTCTGGGGTTTAGTCCGAGGTTTTAGCCCTGATTTAGTCTTGGTTTGGTCCTAATCGACATCCTGATTAAACTCACTTTAGTCCTTAGTACAAACCTGCTATAGTCCTGTTTAAATCCTGGTTTAGTCCTTTTCAGTCCTGGTTTAGTCCTGGTTTAGTTCTAGTTTAGTCCTTGTTTAGTCCTAGTTTAGTCCTGGTTTAGTCCTGGATTAGTCTTGGTTTAGTCCTGGTTCGGTCCTGGTTCAGTCCTGGTTTAGTCCTGGTTTAGTTCCCCGCACGCGCTGTCATTTTATTTTCAGTTTTTATTAAATATCCACATTCTGTTTTTGTCCTGTTCTCTTTAGTCTCACCGATTTTAACCCGTTTTTCTAACATAATTTTGGCATTTTTGCGTTTTTATAACATAAATATTTAAACTAAATCTTAGTCCGAGTCAAACCGGAGCAAAATAAAATGATAATCTCACCGTTACAAGTCAAATTATGGAAAAAAAATATCAGAAAATCCTCCAAAAGTTACAAAACTACAGGCGCCATGACAGGAAATGCGTCATCATGACAGAGGAGACAGTGCGGGCACAGCGCAGCGCCGCCTGATGGAGGAGAAGGGAACTGACGCAGAATTAAAAATAATTAATAAAAAATTTAACAAATGATAATAATAAAATGAAAATAATACATTAATCAAATAAATAAATAAAATTAAACAAATAATAATAATAACAACATAACAATAATACATAAAAACAAACAAAAAATAAGATTAAACAAATAATAATAATAAAGTGAAAATAATACATAAATCTGAAACAAAATGAAAAAAAATAAAATTATACAAATAATAATAATAAAATAAGAAAAATACATTAATCCATAATTAAGATTAAAAAAATTAACAAATAATAACAGAATGAAAATAAAACGTAAAACATAAAAAAATAAGATAAACAAATAATAATAATAAATTAAAATAACACATGAATCCAATAATAATAATAATAATGACAATAATACAATTTTAATAATACATGAATCCAAATCAAAATAAAAAATAAATATGATTAAGCAAACAATAATAAAATTAAAATAAGACATAAATTCTAATAAAAAACAAAAACAAATAATAATAAAATCAAAATAATACATAACTTCAAATCAAAATAAAAAATAAATATGATTAAACAAATAATTTAAAAAAAATGAAAATAATACATAAATCCAAATCTAAATAAATAAATATGTTCTTTTAATGTTAGAGCATATTTAAGTTTTTAAAAATTCACTTCATGAAACACACGGAATTTACTGCAAAGACACAACAAAACTATTAGTGTCTCCTGTCCACCTTGTGATGTCATGAAGTGGTAGTTTTCAGGTGAACAGCTCCTTTTACCTTTAGTTCAGTAGAGATCGACGATTCCAGGGCTGAAATGTTAAAGTTTAAAGAAGTTTTTTAAAGAAAAAGAGGCGGTGAATTGTGCATTGACGTTTTATTATTCAAGTATTTCTGCCCGTCATTGTACCTGGACATTCGAACACTTTAGACAAAATACACTTTAAAACATTTGAATTGAGAAGAATTACACAAAAAAAGGGAAGAAGTCAAGTTTTTTCTGTGTTTTTTGGATGCAGATTTGTATTTACAGAGACGTGCACATGCAGGACTCAAACACGACGTCGTATAAATAAACTTATAAATATATTTTACATAAACAGATCCAACGATTCTCCACATGACGAACATT